CCCCCCCCCTTCCTCCGGGCCCTCCCTCCTCTTGTCCAGCCCCACAGCCCCCACCCCTCCCCAGCTCTGCTTCCCAGCCCTCCCCCCTTCCTCCCAGCCAGCCCCGTGGCCCCCAGACCTTCCCAGCCAGTCCCTCCCCGCCCATGATCAAGTGCGTCTGGTTTTTTGGCAGGGTCTACCTGGTAACCCCATTGCTGCCTCTATCACGGAGGGGAGAAGAGGGGATGCTTCGAGGGAGCTGGCTTTAAGCCGGTTCCCAGCTAGCTCCAGCTCTGTGGGACAGGGAAGAGGTGCAGCGATGGCACTTCCTCTTTCAAATGTACAAGAGCCCCTGTGCATTTCAAAGATTGAAACGCTGCGTTGACTCCGGGCTCCACACAGTGCTTCCGCTTTGAAATGTGCAAGAGCCCAGCGGGGACTCTAGTATATTTCAAGGTTGGAACACAGGGTGGAGCCCAGAAACAGCAGGGAATCCCCAGGCTCCATGAGGGTGCTTCTGTTTTGAAATGTACAAGAGTCCCCACTGGGGTTCTTGTACATTTCAAAGTGGAAGCACCAGCCTGGAGCCTAGGATCAGCAGCTCTTGTACATTTCAAAGGTGGAACATGCACTAGTCCTTATCAACTAATCAAATCGTCGATGGAAATCCCATTGACTATTTGATTAATTAATAGATATTTAGCAGTCCTAGTCTCCGCTAACCCAAGCATGCTGGGTGCCATTGCGCCGTAAATTTGCACTGAGGATGTGGGAGTTTGCTGGTTATCATGGCCTTACTGCACAAGTACTATCTCCGTCATCTGATTTGGGGGGCATGTTTCAGGTGCACCCCTCCCTGCAGCACCTTGCCACCAAGAAGCTTTCTTTGCATTTATCATCCCAAGGCGTTTTATGGCAATGGGCTAAGCCTCACTGCTCCCTTGCAAAGGAGGGAAATGGTAGTGTGCTAATTTTACAGAGGGAGAAACAAAAGCACAGAAACATGATTCACCAAACTCGAGCAGAAAATCTGTGATAGGAGTTGAGAACTGTACCTATATGGCCTCAATCCCAATCCTGTAGTTTTAGGGTGACCATATTTTCTCAAAAGGAGAATGGGAGAACTTCTGCCCTAGTGCAGGACCAACCCAAACCAACCCTGCATATGCGGGACTGCCCTCTGAGTTCCCTGCTACTCCCCTGCATGGGGCCAGGTTCTTCTTCCCCTGAAGTTCTCCCTCCCCACTGGTGCCTCAAGTCCCTCACCCTGGCCTATTGCCCACTTGCATAGGGAACTATTTGTCTGAGCCCTCAGCCTCCCTCCTGCCTCTGACCCCCACCTCTTTAGTTCCCTTTGACTATGGGTGTGGAGCTGGTCCTCCAAGCCCGCCCCTTCGTCCTCTCACCTGTGAGTGAGGATGGTCTGCTTTGTTGGCAAGAGGAGATGGGACAAATGCCCACTTTTGTCAAAAAAGTTGGAACGGCCAGGACAGCAAAACCAGGAAATATAGTCACTGTTTACATTTTAATCCAAAGACTGTGCTTCTTGGTTCTTCATTTCCATACTCATTGCCTTTCACCACACTTAAGACCCATAAATAGACAAGAACATTAGTATTTCTTCTATTCCATTATTTTACAGTTAACATTTGCTTATATATTTTTGAGGTTGATATATTGTAATAGAAATCTACGATTTCACTACAGCTTGATATTGGTCATTATCTGCTAAATAATCTACACACTTTTCTTGATCATATTTTGTTTGGTTGAAATAGGACATCAAAGTCGGAGTTACAGATGAAGAGGACATCTGTTTCTTTTATTGGCAGCCAAAAACAAATGAGCTACATTAGTGGTTTCAATCCAAGTAGAGTGGGATCATTGAGTCGAAGAAGCTTGCTGATGGCTTCTGATGGCAAAACTGTAGATAAGGGGTCTCTCATAGGTAGCAGGCATACCATTCAGGTAATAAACTTTGCAATACCAAATATTTATGTTTAATTGTTTATCTTAAAACTTGTCTGGAAGGAGGATTGGGTGGAGTCCAGGGGGTAAAGGAGACAATGTGATTGGCAAGTATGAAGTTGTAACATTCTGAATGTAACAAGGGTTGGCTTTCTAGGAAAAGGGAGAGCCACAGTGTGGGTGTTCCAGAAGGCAAGAAAACCAGTTGGAAAGGATGATGAACTGTGTTTAAAATGTATCTTCCCTGATTCCTTGAAAGTACAGAGAATTAGTGTAGGAAATGCCTTTATTCTTGCTGATCAGGGATGTTTAATTTTTTTTTAACAAAAGATCTTTTATCCCAAAATGACATCAGTCATGTGTTAATTTAAAAGAATAGCAATTAAAATTAATTTATTTTGAAGGTGCATAAGTTTCACTCCCTTGGCATTGGTACTTTTGATGTTATAAGCTATCTTGTTCTCCTTGTCTATGGCGTCTTGGGGGGAAATAAGATAGATGAGACCACGGTTTTTGCTTTTAATAAAATAAGCAGGATTTTTTTTCTTAATGTTAGGCATCCATCCATCATAAAGGGAAATATTTCTTTTGTCACCTCTTTAGCAAATATTTGATATGTCTAGCATATTTGCTTGACTTCATTTTTGTTTAAGGCTGTATACAAACAGCTAAATGCTCAAGGAAAGCTTAATTCCAGATACAATAAATGAATGATACATTTTATAAATTCAGTATGTTACATGTAACTAAGGTTTTGCATGCAAACCAGGAAAAATTGTCAATCTCGGATAAAGCATATTACATACATGCATTTCTCTGCTAGTGAAGGGGTCTTACACAGGCCCTGTCCATTTAATTAGCCTTGAATGTATGGCAAAAGCAGTGCACAAGACACTGTACAATGGAACGACTTTTTCCCTTAGGCTATGTCTAGACTACATGGCTCCATCGACGAAGCCATGTAAAATAGTTTATTCAGCATAGGCAAAGAAGAGGGGATTTAGTAATCCCCGCTTCATTAAAATAAACATGGCCGCCGCGCTGTGCGTGCCGACAATCAGCTGACCCGGCACAGCGGGGCAGTCTAGACGCGCCGCGGTCGACAAGGGAAGCCTTTCTCGACCACTCCGGTATGCCTACACAGCATCGTTAGCTTGAAATAAGCTACACAATTTGCACTATGCAAATTGCATAGCTTATTTTGATGTTCTTTTCAAATAGCTTACTTCGTAATTTGGCGCTGTCTATATAACACCAAATTTCGAAATAACTCGCTATTCCGAAATGTCCCTTAACCCTCGTGGAACGAGGGTTAACAGGATGTCAGAATAAGCTGCCCATTATTTCGAAATATATTTTGAAATAATGGGCTGCTTCAATAGATGCAAAATAGATGCAGTATACATGTTCTCTTCGAGCACTGTTTTTCAACTAGTGGTACAAATACCCTTAAGGGTACTCGAGAGGAATCTGTGGGGTAAGTCAACACAACTGAAATTTGGAGAAAACTGAATTTTTGTTTTAAGTTTTACAGAGCTTTATTATTTTTGTACTTTTTATACCCAAAAATTTCATAGCCCGCCTAGCTACGATTGAGTTGTTTAAACAAATGTGTTGCAATGGTAGAAAAAAATGTTGTGTGTCTGAAAACTGTAGGTCCTGGGGATACTTATTTTTTTTAAAGGGGTACTTTATAAAAAAAGAAACACTGCCTTAGAGAATTTCAGGTTCCAGTTATGTTAATCTGTCTCCTTTCACAAATACAGGCAGTCCCCGAGTTACGTGGATCCGACTTACATCGGATCCCTACATATGAACGGGGCTTTTCTTGCCGTGGAGGACGCGGGCGGCGGGACCGCCCAGACGCACCGCAGTCCCGCCGCCCGCGTCCTCCAGGGCGAGAAAAGCCCCATTCGTAACTACAGATCCGACGTAAGTCGGATCCGCGTAAGTCGGGGACTGCATGTACTCTATCAATATGGCTATAGGTAGTGGAACATGAAAGAGTCTGATCCAAAAATCCCTGAAGTAAAGCTGCATGATGAATGGATTTTTCAGTTCAATGAGGGTTCTGAAAAATCAAAAATAAAATAAAATTTTGGTTTTAGGTGGAGCTTGAAATTTTTCACAATATCTGAAAAATCTAATCAAATTTTATTTTGGAGCAACCGAAATGATTTTAGATTTTGAGTTTTTTGAGGGGGGTGTGTGTGTGTGGGGCGGGGGTGTTAAAATAAAATTGAAGGAAATATATAAATAAAAGACGTTGCAGGTCGAAGCCACCAAAACATTTCTTTATGAAAATGTTGAAATGTTTCTCCTCTTATGGGAGAGAGGAAAAAAAACCAGATCAGCTTGGTGAAAGCAACATGAAATTGTTTAAAAAAAAAAAAAAAAAAATGTTGCCAAATCTCCATTGTTGTTTTTTTCTAATCCAAAAAAATAAATTCAGCTGAAAAACTTTGTCCAGCTCTGTATTGAAATTGATGGGAGTCTTTATTTTGGCTTCAGTGGACTTTGGACCAGGCCCTAATGTTTACACAAAGTATTCTATATGCGTAGTTTGCCATAAAGCCACTGAAGTTGCAAAGGCAAACATCAGAGCTGGGAGGCAGTGGCGTTAGAGTTGTTCTCCTATTTAAACAAAAAGTGGACAATACATTTTGAAAGAACATTTTTCATTTTGTAATAATAATGTTTTGAATGATAGAGCTTTTATCCAGTATTGTGAAGGCACTATATATATATGATATTTGCCTCACTGCACTCTATGTGGGAAGTATTATCTCCTTTTTATAAATGGGAAACTAGAGTAGGGAAATTTAAGTGGCTTACAATGGTATACAATTACTCACTTAAATAGCCAAGAAATATATATATATTTACTGAGCAGTGAAATTAACTTTCTCCAATATTAGTGTGGTTGATTTGAAAATCACCAGTTTTGAGAAACAATCATCTTCTTAAATTGAAAATAATCTGTGTTTAAATCCATGAGATGTTGACAGAGAGAAGAAACTCCAATATAAAGTATAAAGAAAATTCTGATTAGAACCTTACAATGTGCTTACAGTATTTTTTTTTTTTTTTTGGCAGATGAAAGTTTTTTAGGGAGAAGTTAATACAAATGTAATAAAGTTCCATAATAATTTTACAATATTAGTGCTATGAACCGGCTAGCCTCTGATTTGTACCAGATTTTGCTATAAGTTAGGTCTACTAGGTTCCTTCACAATGACTATTATACAGCAGCACAGCCTGAAAAATCAGTAATGGTGACCAAGCAGGAGTTGTGGCTCATTAGTTTCTCAGTATTCCTGAAACAGCTTCCACTGGCAGTGTTCCTAAGAAGCTCTTGGCAGAAACAAGCTGCTTCTCATGGCTGAACCCCTTGAGGGAGAGTGGCAGTGTAAACAACATCTACTCTGTCAACGTATGCTGGTAGAGAGGTTTCCTTCCCCCTGCGTATGTCAGTTACTGGGGTGAATATTATCTGTAGCTCAAAAGCTTGTCTTTTTCACTAGTTCTAATAAAAGATACTACTTTACTCACCTTGCATGCTACATATAATTTTCATTTGTTTAGAGAACACAAGATTTTTATTATTGTTTTATTTAAATATTCAGATTTTTGATGAGCAAGGGAAAGATGTAACTCCCCATCCACTCTATCGTCCAGAACCAAGTGCTTCACTACACAGACAAAGCAAAATCTTATCTGCGCAGGATATCTCAGGGGCCACTGGATCTGATTTTCTGTCTTCCTTGTCCATCCATCAGACTTCTGGAGTTAATGCCAGCTTAGTGGGTCCATTTTCAAGGTATGTTGTTGCATTCCTTAGGTCAAATTCTGGTCCACACTATACATAGTTCCAGAATGGCCATACATGTAAGCTTCAGAAGTGTTAGTACCAGGAATATTTGGAGACCTGGGTTCTCATCCCTTCTCAAATTACTTTAAGGCCTCTCCCATTTCCTTAGCATTTCCTGTCAGCTAACTTAGGTGGTTCCCTGCTCAGCATGATGGCTTTTGTGAATCCCATTCTTAGACTCTCCTAATGTATTGTATAATGAGCCTATGCATTTCATCCAAGGCCGTGGATTCCACTAGTGGGAAAGGACCTAAAGTTAGGTGTTTCAATGCTGAGGCTCAGTCTGCTTTGTAGATCTAGCCCTCAGTTGCCATTGCAGCACCACATGAATTTAAGTGTTTGCACTATCATTTTTAGTTACTTTAAATTTTGGAACTGATAATCCATATAATAGAATCTATAATTTGAGTTATTCTTTCCTTAGCCTATTTTCCTGTGCTGGATTATGCATGTGTATATTTTTAAACACACACCTTTTGGGGAAAGGAAGTATACTAAGAAAATTGTTATATATCATAGAATACTAGGACTGGAAGGGACCTCGAGAGGTCATCGAGTCCAGTCCCCTGCCCCCATGGCAGGATCAAATACTGTCTAGACCATTTCTGATAGACATTTATCTAACCTTCTCTTAAATATCTCCAGAGATGGGGATTCCAAAACCTCCCTGGGCAGTTTATTCCAGTGTTTAACTACCATGACAGTTAGGAACTTTTCCCTAATGTCCAACCTAAACCTCCATTGCTGCAGTTTAAGCCCATTGCTTCTTGTTCTATCCTCAGAGGCCAAGATGAACAAGTTTTCTCCCTCCTCCTTATGACAGCCTTTTAGATATCTGAAAACTGCTATCATGTCCCCCCTCAGTCTTCTCTTTTCTAAACTAAAAAAACCCAATTCTTTCAGCCTTCCTTCATAGGTCATGTTCTCTAGACCTTTAATCATTCTTGTCTACATGCATCTGACGAAGTGGGTCTTTGCCCATGAAAGCTTATGCTCCTACACTTCAGTTAGTCTATAAGGTGCCACAGGACTCCTCACCGCTTAATCATTCTTGTTGCTCTTCTCTGGACCCTCTCCAATTTCTCCACATCTTTCTTGAAATGCAGTGCCCAGAACTGGACACAATACTCCAACTGAGGCCTAACCAGTGCAGAGTAGAACATAAGAATGACTTCTCGTGTCTTGCTCACAACACACCTGTTAATGCATCCCAGAATCATGTTGCTTTTTTTGCAACAGCATCACACTGCTGACTCATTCAGCTTGTGGTCCACTATAACCCCTAGATCCCTTTCTGCCGTACTCCTTCCTAGACAGTCGCTTCCCAGTCTGTATGTGTGAAACTGATTGTTCCTTCCTAAGTGGAGCACTTTACATTTGTCTTTATTAAACTTCATCCTGTTACCTCAGAGCATTTCTCCAATTTGTCCAGATCATTTTGAATTATGACCCTATCCTTCAGAGCAGTCGCAACCCCTCCTAGCTTGGTATCATCTGCAAACTTAATAAATGTACTTTCTATGCCAATATCTAAATCGTTGCTGAAGATATTGAAGAGAGCCGGACCCAAGACAGACCCCTGCGGAACCCCACTTGTTATACCTTTCCAGCAGGATTGTGAATCATTAATAACTACTCTCTGAGTACGGTTATCCAGCCAGTTATGCACCCACCTAAGTTGTATTTGCCTAGTTTATTGATAAGAATATCATGCGAGACCGTATCAAACGCCTTACTAAAGTCTAGGTATACCACATCCACCGCTTCTCCCTTATCCACAAGACTCGTTATCCTATCAAAGAAAGCTATCAGATTGGTTTGACATGATTTGTTCTTTACAAATCCATGCTGGCTGATCCCTATCATCTTGCCACCTTCCAAGTGTTTACAGATGATTTTCTTAATTACTTGATCCATTATCTTCCCTGGCACAGAAGTTAAACTAACCAGTCTGTAGTTTCCTGGGTTGTGCTTATTTCCCTTTTTATAAATGGGCACTATATTTGCCCTTTTCCAGTCTTCTGGAATCTCTCCTGTCTCCCATGCTTTTCCAAAGATGATAGCTAGAGGCTCAGATACCTCCTCTATCAGCTCTCTGAGTATTGTAGGAGCTTATATAAATAAGTTTAAAAAATTCTTCACCACTACCACCTTTCCTTCCTCATATATTATCACTTTTTTCATTTTAACTTAATTGTGTTAAGTGTATATTATTTTTAAAATGTTTTCCTATATATTTAAAAAAAAATTCAAAGGATTGATAGTGAGAGGTTCTGAAGATTCTCACCTGGCAGTTGTGAGCTCATAGCATCACATGGGCTATATCTAGACTATGTTCTATTTTGGAAAGAAGATATCATTTCTCTGGCTCTCCTCAGGACTCTCTCCAGTTTGCCCACATACTTCTTTCAGAAATGGACAGAAAACTCCAGCTGGGGCCTGACTAGTTCTGAACAGTCAGGACAATTACCCGCCTTGTCTTACACTGGACACTTCTACTAATGCAAACTGTAATGATATTAATCTGCCTCTTTTGAGAGATTGGAAGATATGCAAATTCCCACCGAATTTGCATATTCTCTTTCGGAAAAAAAATGTAGTTTAGATGTACCCATGGTGTCCAATACCTTACAGGATTAAAAAACTATGTAAGAACGAATCCCAGATCTTATTACAGTCTCCCTAATGATCTTTTTAGTACCATAGAATACTCTCTTTTCAATAAATTCATTGTCTTTCCAGTGTCTTTCTATGATTTTCTTTTGTAACATAAGCATTTGCTGTATGCACAATCACTATATAAAGTGACGAGGCTATCCTCATACCAGTACTTTGGTTTTTTATTATTAATTATTATTATTATTTTGAATACGGCCATATCTGGATTCTCACATCTTATTTCTGTATATTTCTTTATTATTAAAGGACATATGGAAGCAGCAGTATTTCTAAATCAACCATATCTACAACTGACTCTACTACAGATGAAATAGTAGAACCTGGTTCTAGACGGGACACAGCTATTAGCTTATCTGGTAAAGAAAATGTACTTCTGTAATTACAGAGATTCATACTGTTGGCTTTGAAGTAAGATTCTGGGATACACTGAAGTCAGTACAAGTTGAGGGTACTGAGCACCCCTCAAGGAACTCAGTGCCAACAGTACATCGCTCATAGTCAACACTTATTTTTTCACAATTAAGTTTTCCTCTTTTGATCTTAGACAGAAAAATATTTTTATTTTCACATTATCTGATTTGACAGAAGTACAAGTGAGGCGGGAAGAAATTAAAGAACAACTGACAAAAGAAGACATTGATAAGAGAGTGGATATTTACCTCACGGAGACAGAAACAATGTGGCTCTTCGACATGCCAACTGTCATGGTGTCTGTAGAATCTGAAGATGCTGAAAAAGTGCAGTATGTATCTGCACTTACAATTTACAGTTTACAATTGCACATATCCTGTGGCATCCTGAGCCACAATGTGGTCAGTGCCCTCAATTTCCATTGACTCCAGGGAATTGAAAGGGCTCATGAATGTACTGGATCAAGGTCCTTACTATCTACATTTCAAAACATTAATTTTGTCTAAAGGCCATATTGGACTCACTTCCATCTATAACAAGTTAGTCTTCTTTACGCTGTCTTGCTGACAGTTTAGACCTTTCATCTTCTTGGGCAGGTAAAGCAGTTAGTGAAAAGCAGAGGTGGGTAGTAACTTAGAGCACGTCTGCACAGTAGGGCTAAAGCCGAAATAAGCTACGCAACTTGAGCTTCATCAATTACGTAGCTTAAGTCGAAATGGCTTATTTCGGCTTTTGGCACTGTCTATACAGCAGGAAGTCCAAGAAAGCACTCTGCCTCCAACTTCCCTTCCTCCTTGTAAAATGAGGGTTGCAGGAGTCGGAGTAAGAAGTTCTCCAGCTCAACATTATTTTGACATTATGTTGAAGTAACTGCTTGTAGTGTAGATGCCGACTGTGTTATTTTGGAATAACTTCAGTTATTCCAAAATAACACTGCTGTGTAGATGTACCCTTAGAGACGACAAAACCCAGTACTGAAATGAATGTTTTATTTAAAATAATTTCCCTTTATTCAAGTAAAAAGGCTTTAACAAACAAATGTCATTCTTTAATTAATTTACCATCAGTTGGAGCTTCATTATCATTCTAGGAACAGAAAAACATGAGCAGTTTTTTATTGATTAAAATGCATTTATTATGGAGAACTTGCTTTTAAACAGTTATTCATTGTCGTTAATGCTGTGCTTGCAGGTAAGTTATGGGAGGATCAGGTTCTGTGTGGTTAGAGAGCCTTCAGGAGTTATGTTTTGATACAGAAAAATGTTCTGGGATTTCTGGTTTACCTATAGTAGTTCAGGTTTATTAAAATAAATAAAAATAAACCAACCCACAAGTTTGGTAAAAAATTCTGGATGTATGTTTTCCATGTATCTTTTCAGTCAGTAATTCCTAAACAAATGTATAAACACATATATAAACAAACAGTTGGGTCATAGGCCTGCTGGGTTACGCCACTGGCGAGCCTACAATGCATTATTTATCTTGGGCTGCTGCTTCCTGAAGCTCCCCGTGGCTGGAAATGGCGAACCATTGCGGGCCCACCAGCATTACCCCAGTGGGCCAGCGAATCAACTGTGAAAACCATTGCACTAACGTAACTTAGCTCCTTTTAAAAGTGTAGATCCTAAATAGGTTCAGCTAATTAGTTTCACTTTGGCCTTTTAGACTAAATTAACAAAAGTTCATAGGTGGCTACACCCCAGACTTAAGTGACTAAACCCACATTTAGGCACTTAAGTCCCAATTTTAGTCTCCATCGTGATTGACAAATCTCAGCCATTTTCTGTAGGGGCCTAAACAAGCTTGCACCTAAATGTACAGAGTAAATATTTCCTCAGCACCTAAATGTCTGCCTCTGGATATGCACTCTGGTGCCTCAGTATAGGCATCCATGTGACTATCTCCCACCTAAGCCTCAGTGTGATTCACAAACCAAGGTAAATAGGCTTACCTGTTTCCTGCAGGGCCCTACTCATAGGTGTGCTCAGAGACTTGTCTTACACATTGGATCTTATTCAGAATCTGGCCAGAGGAGGAGCAGCTGGGTGGTAGTGCTATCCTCCTTACAACTCTTAGCAACCCGGTGACTAGAGCATTACCTCTGAAGTGAGAGATCTGGGTTCATCTCCTCCTCTGTCTGATGGGGAGAAATAATTTGAAAAGGAATCTCCCACCCCTCAGGAGAGTGCTCTACCACTGAACCATGTGATATTCTAATGGGGGGGGGTCTCTGTCTCTCCAGTTGTAGTATGCTGTCTTTTGTGAATCACAGTCTAAGGCATGGGTTCCCAAACTGGGGGGCATGCCCCCCTGGGGAAGCATGAAGAAATTCCGGGGAGAGAGGCGCAAGGCAACCCAGCCACCTCCCCTCCAAATTTTGCTGCTATTTTTGTTTTTCGGCCCAAGTTAGTCCCCCCCCCCCAGGGGATGCATGCTATTTTGGAGGGGGGGGGGGCGTGAGGGTTTCTCAAAAATCAAAAAGGGGGCGTGATGCCGAAAAGTTTGGAAACCACTGGTCTAAGGACACCTATCTCTCTATAGTCATTTTATAAAGAACCTAAGTGCCGAACTCAGGTTCAGAAAAATCATAAATGAGACTGTAATTCACAAGGTACTTAAAAGTCACTTGTGAGTCTTGCTCTTCCTCCCTAGAGTAACTGTCTGATCCTTGGCCAGGAGTTAACCCCAAAACCCAGAGATTCCTGGCCTCTCCCTAGGAACTTCACTGGGTAGAGTGTGCTAGGGCTCCGCCCACCCCCATGAACTCTAAAAGTCTGTCACAATGCATTTGCAGAATTAAGCTATGAGGGCTGGGATTCAGACTCCCACACATGATTTGGCCTACCAGCAGCATTTGGCATATTTAACATCTTATTACTGATGGCCAGCTGCTTATGGTACAGGATGCAGGGAGGAGGTAATCAATCCATCCTGGTTCCTAAGGGGTCTCCAGCCACAAGATATAAGATCACACCACTCTGCTATCCAAGGAATGTAGTAAGGGAATAGCGGGGAATAATCTGACTCTGTATGCACAGCATATACTGTGGACTTTCTGAGGGTATAGAGTGACTAAACTTTGTAGACTCTGGTTCAGTATAATCCACTTCTGCTTTTTGAATGTTAAAATAACTTTAAAAAGTGACATTTCCTCTTCACCGTTTCTGCACTCATTAGAGACTAGACAATATAGATTAATCACATTCCCCTTTGTATTTAGGCAGCATTTAATTAGCTTCATTCTGTAGTGAAGATGGTCAGAGCTACACATTTCAGAACTATATCTGAATTTCCCCAAAGTTAAAAATGTTTGGATCTGGTGTTTTGGCTCAGGCCCATCTCTATAATATTTTTCTGACCTATAACAATGTGGCAAAGTTGGGGTAGTAGTAACCACTGCCATGGAATATTTGGAGCCAAACAACCTCTGCTTTCATTGAAAAAGACAGGATCAGTAGCCCTTAGTTGAGAATACCATATCTTTTTCAATGTGTGGTTTTAATATGAAGAGATTTGGGTTTTTTAACATATTTGTAATTTTTCAAAGGAAAAGGAACAACGTTTATATAGAACTTTGTAAAAATAGAGTTGGTAATGATTGCTTTGTGGAAAGGATGATGCAAACTCTTAATGGAGCACCAAAGACTAAAGAAGTGCAATGTGACAAAATCTTCATGGAGGATAAAGGTAAATTATCATTCAGAAAAATGATAAATATAGCAAATGTTTACAAGCCCTTTCCCATTAAACATTTTGTACCTATGCTAATTGTTATTACTATATCTCGTTAGTTATTAAACTTAGATTCAGGAGAAACAGGGATCACATGATGATTACCAGTTGTGGTCTCTCCTGGGGCATCTGGTATTAGCCACTATCAGTAGACAGGATACGGGGCTAAATGGACCATAGGGCTTACCCAGTAGGGCCATTCTTATGTTAGAACACTAAAACAAATTAAAGGAAGACCTTGGGACTTGGTTGAGGCTACTTTTGTTAAGGTGCACAAGCAGGCTGGCAAAGAATTCAGGAAGTAGACCTGTGTGGGAAATGGTATTCGTATTTTGCTAAAAGTTGTGATTTCAAGATTTTTTCACCCCAAACTGAGATGAAAAGTTAAGATCTCAGATTTTTGCACTCTGAAAATCTGAAAAGAAAATTTGGTTTGGATCCATCAAAATGTTTTGAAAAGTAGTTTCAAACAAGAAAAACTGGATTTTTTGTTTAAAGATATCAAAATGGAATGTTTTTACTATATCTCATTACTTTCTAAAACTTGCAAAGAATATCTGAAATGAAAAATTTATCAATTTCTCTTTCCCGAAGAACATTTCATTCAGACAAATACGTTTTTTTCCCATAAAACTGTTTCTCTCAAAAAATTCCTGAGCAGTTCCATTAGGGAGTCCTTTCCCTGCTTGTACATTCATGTAGGAGCCAACCAGAATATCAGAGTTTGCATTTCTTGAGCATAAGATGTAGGGATGCTCGAGTGACCTGAAGTAGTCTTCCTTCCTACAGAAATGTGTCAGTAGGGGTAGCAGCATCTGCAAGGCCTTTGCCTCACTTCTCCATCTCCTGACATTTAGAAACTGAAAAAACTTAAACAACATATGGTCCTGTTTTTTAAGTTACAGACTAACATAGCTACCCCTCTGAGATTTAGAAACTGGTTCAGGGAGCAGCTCATTCTGCATGCAATAAAAGGATGTAGTAGTTGCTTCTTCTAAGAGCTCCCTTTGTATACTGTCTGGCTATGTTGGCAGAGAGTATGCCAATGAAGTACTCATTAGCAACTTCTCACTCTTCATTAGCATAATCTCTGCCCGAGGCTTTTTGCTCAAAAACTAGCAGTATAGACGGATCCATTTTGTGCAAGATCTGTATTCATCCTTTTTTGAGGCATATGGATCCTGCACAAAAAGGGTTTTTTTGAGCAAAATGGATCCGTCTACATTGCTAGTTTTTGCGCAAAACCTCTTGTGCAAAAAGCCTCAGGCAGAGATTATGCTAATGAAGTATGAGAAGTTGTTAATGAGTGCTTCATTAGCATACTCTCTGCCGGCAAAAACTGACAGGCTACGTCTACACTGGCATGATTTTCCGAAAATGCTTTTAACGGAAAAAAGTTTTCTCTTAAAAACATTTTCGGAAAAGCACGTCTAGATTGGCAGGATGCTTTTCCGCAAAAGCGGTTTTCCGCAAAAAAGCCCCAATTGCCATTTTCGCGATTGGGGCTTTTTTGCGGAAAACACTACTGTGCTGTTTACTGGCCCTTTTGGGCAAAAGTCTTTCGGAAAAACACTTTTGCCCAAACGGGAGCAGCATAGTATTTCCAGAAAAGCACTGACGATCTTACATGAGATCGTCAGTGCTTTTCCGGAAATTCATCTGATTTTGCGGAAAACCTTGCCAGTCTAGACACAGCCACAGTGTAGACATAGCCTCTCAGCACCACAAATGCAGACAAAAGCTGCATGGCAAGAATGTGGGTCGGGAAGGCTGGGGACGGGGGCCCAAAGGCAGGTGGATACTGTTCCAGGGGACGCGTGGGGAAGGAGCCGCCGTCTCCCCCATTTCATGGAGGCTAGTCAGCGGGGAAGTCTGCCAGCAGCGCTGGTGGTGTGGCAAGAGGCGGTGGGTGTGCCAGCTGGGCAGTATTTGAGCAGGCTGGGGCAGGGTGTGAGTAAGAGGGATGAAGGTGGTATGGGGAGATGCTGCAGCCAGTAGAGCTGCAGGCAAAGAGTCTGGTCAGCAGGGAAGCCTGCTGGTAGCACTGGTAGCATGGCAAGAGGCCGTTTCTGGGGGAAAGGGTGTGTTCTGGGCTTGGAGTGTGGTGTCATCCCATAGGAAAAATGTATATTTAGAGAGAGAAAACAGCAAAAGTACCACCTGTCAATTGTAGGACCCATGTTAATGAAGCTAATTAAGTGGTTTCGAGGTGTCCTATTCAAAGCTATTGATGTTAAAATTTGGATGTCAAAGGCAGGGAGAATTGACTTTTTAGTGTGTTAACCAGTACTGTACTGTGTTTGCTTTTATTTATTTTTGTGTCTGACACCATATGACTGTATTTCCAATTACAAATGAAGTGTGTAGGTGGCCGATAAGTTTGTAACTCTGGTGATCATAACTCTGTGCTATGGTACTGCGTAATTCATTTTTAGGCATAATGGCCACTTCTTGGGACTTGTATGATTCCTTTAACGTCTTGGAAACAACACCTTCAGTAGCAGAAAGAAGTAGCAGACCAACAAGTGTGAGTAGCAGTAAATCTAACTTGACCAAAGACCGTGAACGAACTATGTCTACAGCTTCTGCAGGCAGAGGTAACTTTTCTTTCTAGGCTTAAATTTCTAGTGTTTTTAACTGTATAATCATATAAAGTTATGCATATTATCTGTATTGTTTTGGAAAAATTATACCAAGAACATGTTTAACTTTGAATGCTAAATTGTGCAGTTTGAAGTAAAAAACCCCCACAAGGTTCTGCATGTCACCTGAACCCTAATTTTGTCCCGTTGTGTATAAGTACTATGATAGTGTTTTATTACATGGTCACCCTCCACCTAAAAATGCAGTATCATGTTACACTTTTCACTGCAACCTTAGCTACTCATTGTAGAATCATGTATTTCAAGATGGTACACCTAAGTATGGTGAAACATGGTCACATATTAATCATAAGGCTTTGTCTACACTGCTGAATTTAAAGTGCTGCTGCAGCAGTGCTTAAACATAGCAGTGTGGTCACAGCATCAGTGGTGGGAGAGAGCAGTAAACCCCCTCCACAAGGGGAGCCTATTTACACTTGTGCTTTACAGCTCTAACTTGCTGTGCTTGGATGCGTATGTGTGTTTTCCACACCCTTAAGCAAGAAAGTTACATGCAGTAAAGTGGCAGTGTAGACAAGACCTCAGATAAATACAGTACAGTTTTTATAATCCTCAGAAATTACTGATCAAAATCCCTTGTTTGCTTTTGAAATAGGCTGTAATCTTGCAGCTCATACAGGTCTTCAGTTAACAAAACAAAACAAACCCAACTAGACAAGATAGCATTTGTGCTTCCCTTGAGCCTTGATCATCCATCAAAGCTTTCTAACTTTTGTTTCCCCAACTGCTATTCCTTTAATCAACAAGAGATGTTGCTACTGAATGATTTGAAAACCATTCTCTGCTGTGGGGTTTGCTCACTATGGCTGCGTCTAGACTGGCATGATTTTGCGGAAATACTTTTAACGGAAAAGTTTTTCCGTTAAAAGTATTTCCGCAAAAGCGCGTCTAGATTGGCACGGATGCTTTTGCGCAAAAAGTGCTTTTGCGCAAAAGCATCTGTAGCCAGTCTAGACACAATTTTGCGGAAGAAAGTCTCGATCCCCATTTTAGCTATTGGGGCTTTTTTGTGCAAAACAGTTCTTCCCTGTCTACACTGGCCCTCTTGCGCAAGTATTCTTGCACAAGAGGGCTTTTTCCTGAGCGGGAGCATGAAAGTATTTGCGCAAGAAGCACTGATTTTGTACATTACAAAGTCAGTGCTCTTGCGCAAATTCAAGCAGCCAGTGTAGACAACTGGCAAGTTTTTGTGCAAAAGCCATTGCTTTTGCGCAAAATCTTGCCAGTCTAAACGCACCCCCTGCTGCTTCCAAAGAACTCTAAACCCATATCCCCTTCATGGCCTGATGCAACTTTACAGGCTGAATCATAAGACTGTCACCTTATTTAAAGAGACACTTATCAGATTAAAAACAAAAGCAGTCAAATCAGTTTTCCTTTATTATATTATTAATACCACCTTAGAATATTAAAACTGGAAAACAAACTAAAAAAAAACTAATGTACTTTCCTCCGTGTATAGAATCATAGAATAATAGGACTGGAAGGGGCCTCGAGAGGTCATCGAGTCCAGCCCCCGCGCCCTCAAGGCAGGACCAAGCTCCGTCTACACCATCCCTGACAGATGTCTATCTAACCTGTTCTTAAATATCTCAAGAGAGGGAGATTCCACCACCTCCCTTGGCAATTTATTCCAATATTTGCCCACCCTGACAGTTAGGAATTTTTTCCTAATGTCCAATCTAAACCTCCCCTGCTGCACTTTAAGCCCATTACTCTTTGTCCTGTCCTCAGAAACCAAGAGGAACAAATTTTCTCCTTCCTCCTTATGACACCCTTTTAGATATTTGAAACCCGCTATCATGTCCCCCCTTAATCTTCTTTTTTCCAAACTAAACAAGCCCAGTTCATGAAGCCTGGCTTCATAGGTCATGTTCTCTAGACCTTTAATCATTCTTGTCGCTCTTCTCTGTACCCTTTCCAATTTCTCCACATCTTTCTTGAAATGTGGCGCCCAGAACTAGACACAGTACTCCAGCTGAGGCCTAACTAGTGCAGAGTAGAGCGGCAGAATGACTTTACGAGTTTTGCTTACAACACACCTGTTGATACCAACCTAGAATCATATTTGCTTTTTTTGCAACAGCATCCCACTGTTGACTCATATTCAACTTGTGGTCCACTATGACACCTAGATCCCTTTCCGCCATGCTCCTTCCTAGACAGTCGCTTCTTATCTTGTATGTATGGAACTGATTGTTCCTTTCTAAGTGGAGCACTTTGCATTTCTCTTTATTAAACCTCATCCTGTTTACCTCTGACCATTTCTCTAACTTGCTAAGGTCATTTTGAATTATGTCCCTATCCTCCAGAGAAGTTGCAACCCCACCCAGTTTGGTATCATCTGCAAACTTAATAAGCGTACTCTCTATCCCAATATCTACATCATTGATGAAGATATTGAACAGTATGGGTCCCAAAACAGACCCTTGCAGAACTCAACTTGTTATCCCTTTCCAGCAGGATTTAGCACCATTAACAACAACTCTCTGACTACGGTTATCCAGCCAATTATGCACCCACCTTATCGTGGACCTATCTAAGTTATATTTGCCTAGTTTATCAATAAGAATATCATACGAGACCGTATCAAATGCCTTACTAAAGTCTAGGTATACAGTGAACCCTCGTTTATCGTGGTAGATAGGTCCCAAACCCGACCGCGATAGCTGAAAATCCGCGAAGTAGGATCCTCAAAGCCTCGGGGGAAGCCGGCGGGGGGGGGGCATCCCAGGCGCGCCTGGGCTGCTCCCCCGCCGGAGCTCCTCCGCGGCTTTCAAAGCCTCGGGGGAAGCCGGCGGGGGGGGGGCATCCCAGGCGCGCCTGGGCTGCTCCCCCGCCGGAGCTCCTCCGCGGCTTTCAAAGCCTCGGGGGAAGCCGGCGGGGGGGGGGCATCCCAGGCGCGCCTGGGCTGCTCCCCCGCCGGAGCTCCTCCGCGGCTTTCAAAGCCTCGGGGGAAGCCGGCGGGGGGGGGGCATCCCAGGCGCGCCTGGGCTGCTCCCCCGCCGGAGCTCCTCCGCGGCTTTCAAAGCCTCGGGGGAAGCCGGCGGGGGGGGGGCATCCCAGGCGGGTCCTGGGCTCATGTTGCAATGTCTGAGTTGCAAACATTGCGGGGAAATAATTAAATCTAAGCAAAAAATAATTATTTAAAAATACATGGGAAAAAAATCTTAGCTTGTTTTTCTCTTTTAAACAATACTTCCACTCACCCACATCAAGTTGGGGAAACTGATGGGGCCTGAGGTGAAAGGGGGTGGTCCCAGTAGCAAAAGTATGAGACATTCGCCAAGGGACAATAGCTTGTTCCCCTGCTTGGGAATCTATAGCACTTATTGGCCAGCACAGGAGAGGAGTGCTGATTGGCCAGCACTCCCCAGCTCCTAGGATTTGTCCCTACTGCACATATATACACAGTGGGGCACAATTTAGCCATAAGAGACTATAATACAGACCCTTTATATGGCACTACCACTTGATAGAATTTTGGAAATACAAAGAAAAACTAAAGAACTAAAAAAAATTAATAGATAAGATATTTACTGATCATGGCAAGATTTTCTGTCGGTGGGTTGGTTGGATTTTGCCTGCTGAATGCATTGGATTATTATGCTAATCATGCCTTTTTTCAATATCATCTCTTGGTTTTCTAGAGAGCATAGCCTCAAGTTCCATAATTGATTTGGAAAGCGTTATTCTTGACAAAATCCATGAAGAAGAGAAAGACCATTCTGAAGCTATATTAAAATCAGAAAAATTTCAACAGGATTTATTTTTCATGGAAAGAGTTCTAATGGAGAATGTTTTTCAGCCCAAACTTGCAGCTTATCGGCAACTTCCTGTTCTTATAGGTATGCTTCTCATCAGATAAATAATTCTCAATATGAAGGAGCCTGTTTTGCATGCTAACAAAAATACTAGGTAAAAATGAGCCTACTCTGAACTCTTGCTAGAGAAACTGATTCTATTACATAAAGACGAAAGTGGTGAAAAGATTTGCTAAACCTAAACTGGGGTTGTTCAGTTCTAGGCTCCATTTTACCAACACCCACAAAACAGAGCTTTGTGCAAGGTTTGGATAAATGGTTTTTGAGCTGGCTCATCTTTACTATTAACAACAGTAAGCTGAGACCTGTTTCTACAGTATTTAGCAAGCTCATTTTTTACATTGTACCTTCAGCTTCAAGAAACAATATGGCTTCATGGACAGAGCACTGGATTTGGACTCAAAAGATTAGACTTCTGTTCCTCGTTCTGCCACTAGTTTGCTGTGGGTTCACAGGCAAATTACTTCCCCGTCCTGTGCCTTGGTTTTTCCCCATTTGGTAGAGGGGACAATGAAGCTGACCTCTCTAAAGCACTTTGAGAACTACTGATGAAAAGTGCTAGAGATGATTGTCTAGTATGTTTTCTTGGTATTACAGCTCTTCACTAGAATACACAGTCTTTCAGTTCATATCAAAATTTAGACCAGACTGGTAGTAAAAATTTAATCACATGATGGCTATTCAGTGCCTATACAAAATGAGAAGTTGGATTCACTGTGGATCCTAAATGGCATTTATTGGACTACTGTTGGCATTCTCAACAAAGAAGCCAAGAACTAGCTGGGGGTAGAAACTCAATTACCATATTCCCATTAAGGGAAGTACAGTGAAAAAGAGATTAAAAACTTATGAAATGAGGAAGCTCACATGGCCATGGCCTATATTGTATTGTACACCAGACAGAGGGCTTCAAGCGGTCAATCCAACACTGACCACAAGCAATACATTTTAGGGAGGAGAGGGGGGAACCTTCCGCCATATCCACCCCTGAATTTTAAAGGGCCAAGCAGAGTTCTTGCCCCACTTATCCCCATATAAAAAATTTCACATCTTACAACCTCTTTGGCGTAAATCCGCTAGGGTACGTCTACACTGTACCCTGTGTCTGAACAAGCTGCCCATTATTTTGAAATATTTTTTGAAATAACAGGTGTGCTATTTTGACATCCTGGTAACCCTCGAAATTTGGCGCTGTGAAGATGTCCTAAATTTCAAAATAGCTTATTTTGAAATTCCATTGAAATAAGATATGCAATTTGCATAGCGCAAATTGCATATCTTATTTCAATTTTAGAGTGCTGTGTAGATGCACTCCTAGCTGTATTTGCTCTTGTTTGACACTTTAAAGTTCTGGGAAGTAGATAAGGAAAAGATTTGCAAAAGCTCAGATGAGAGATAGGTGCCCTTGTACAGTGTATCCATATTACTTCACAAGAATGACATGAAATTCATTCCAGATTCACAAATTTTGATGTGGCAACTAAGCAAAAACATAGTAACAAATTAAATATAAATACACTTTGCACATTTATACTGACAAATGCAAATTTCACTGTAATTATAACATTACATAGTAACCATCCAATGTGCTATGGTGATAATTTTCAAACCTGGATCCATAACATTTGGCCTCAAAGTTAAAAAATGTACTGCTTAACAAATAAACAGGAGGAAGCTTTCTTTGGGGGTAGGTTATTCCGAACTACCTCCTTCAGGGTTCTTGAACCCTCATATGGAACACCCATTACTGGATACAGTAGGGGACAGGACACTGGACTATCTGGATCACTGGTAAGAATGCTAGCTCCTATGATACAAAAAAAATGTTGGCCACATTTTGAAGAAGTCATGAAGTGTTGCTTTTCTGAATTTTCATTGTAGTGATATGCTATGAAATCTTTGCTGAGAAGTGGACTGAAATCACTGTATTTCTGGTCAGAATTAGCAGGACTGCAGATTAGTTAAGTGAGTACTACTGTATATATGTTACACTGTAGAGCCAGTTCTTAAATCTGATGCTGAAAAAGAGGAAGCGGAAATAGAGGAAACAGAAGCAGAAGAGGAGGAGGAGGAAGAGGCTGAGGAAGAGGAGGAAGAGCAAAAGGAAATAGTAATTAGTCCATCACTTCTGTTAGATCTAAGTGAATCACCAGAAGAAACCTTGCCGCCCAGTCTGGAACGACTGTGGTCCTATACATGTGATTGGACTAATGGGCACAATGTGAGCAGCATGGCTTGGAACAAGTTAAACCCAGTGAGTTACCAAATCCATTCTTCTAAATGTATTTCTAGAATTGGGTGGGTACTTGTCAAGGTAAAATATAAATCGGGGGCTTGATGCACCCTGCTGGAGCAGATGTGAGAGAGGGAGGAATTCATCCCTGAAATTAGACAGGTGATGCAGTCTGTATTTTCTTCCTGCAGTCTGTATTTTCTTCCTCCATATGCTGACTTAGGTGCATTGACTGACTCTTTCATGATCTGCAGGATAGATAGTTGCACCTCACCATTCCTAAGAATGATCACATTTATCTTGAAATATCTTAAGTTGGTTCAGTATGTAGTAGCTCATCTTCTCAGCTGCACTGGTCTCAGAAGGCACTTGACCAGGATGTTCAGATAACTACCCTCGTAGAATTCTGAGTCAAATTCGAATTCTCAGTACTAATGTATAAAACCATGCATGGCATGGATCCACATAGTTTAGAGACCACTTCTTGCTCTGTGACAATGATCTCCCTAGACCACTGCATTTCTCAGAAAGGAGAACACCAACAACCTTCAGAATAAGACTCATGAGAATGGCAGGCACAGCAGCTGGTGCAAGATTACAGAACTCACTTTTTCCTGTGAAAGTCAAAATGATCTCAAAGCTCTTTACCAGCAGAGCAGAATACATCTCACTTCTTTGATTTAGCTTTCTCATGGCTACAATAAAAACAACAATGTAAGGGATGAAGATAAAAATGGGAGAGGAAGAATATAAAAACAGTAAGATTGCCTCAGTAAGGGGAAAAGGAGGAAATAAGGCCATAAAAAAAGACCTTTGAACCAGATCCTCAGATGTAAATTGGTAATCCATAGAGCTAATGAGTACTAATCCACATGTTCACACTGACTAGCCACAAAGTAAGAATTGTAAGGCCATTAGATACTTAGTTTCAAAATGCTCATTTCACGATAAGCAGTTATTTTGTGTAGAGAAATACAATTTAAGGGAGTTGAAGAGTAAGGTCCTTGCTGCTAAGTTTCTTGCTTGTTACTTATAAAACACAATCATAAATCATTTTTTGCTTGTTACACATAAAACACAAGCAGTGGCAATCATAAAAATATTATGTCTTTCTGCCTCAAAATATTTAAAACCAGAAACATTTACCATATTGTATCAAATTCTATACATTAGCATGCCATTATAAAACACACACACACACACATGTAAATAATTTGGATATATTTTATAGGGTATTCTTTATTTGTGGGCACAATCTGTGCTCACCAAAATTGCACATGCAATTTAATTTTCATTTCTGCATAGTGAGTAGTGCCTTACACTTACTACACTAAAATCTGACCCTAAGAGTAAATCTTATTTACTGTAAATCACCCAACTTTGCTTATGTGACTACATTACTGAAAGGTGTACTTAATACTGAATACTTTATTACTGAAATAGAAAGATTTGCACACTCATCTGCAGGCAGAACGCTGCCACTTAAAATTCTAGCTCTAAATTTCTGCTTTAATTTAAGTATATCCACCAATCTGTACTTTTGGGTTTTAGGATCTTTTGGCTGTTGGTTACGGGCAGTTTGGTTTTACAGAACAGAAGAAAGGTTTGGCTTGCTGCTGGTCACTCAAGAACCCTATGGTAATACAAGTTTTGTATGATTTAATAACAGCTCATATAGTTTCCTGTTGCTTGAGAAAGCAAGTCATTTAGCAGTAACGTTCATTTGTTGGCCTAAACCTCAAACTCTTCTGGAAAATGGATTATAATTAACAATTCTTATTTTTAAAATGTCTAACCTACCTTAGTGCTAGTGAAAGATGCCAGAAAACACTGGGGACTAAAGTTCTTATTCACAGGACAGTTACCAGGGAACAAGGACACTTCCTCCACAATAGTCTGCCAATGTGCTTGACCAGAAATAAGTGCTGTATCTATAGAAAGTAGCATAGCCTCTTGTGCCCATTCATCTTCTGTACTCCGTCGACTTCCCTTACTGCTTGCTACAGCGAGGAGTACGAGAGCCAACAGGGGTGTTCTCAGCGTTTGATTTAGTGGGTTTTTACTAGACCCACTAAATTGAACCCCGGAGGATCGATCACCAGAGCGTTGAAGAGGTGGCCTTATAATACAAAAGTCACATTGCTGCACAGCACAGCTTTCAAATTTGACAGCCACAGCAGGAGATAGAAGTCTCACTTATTTGGAATATAGCCTTAAAGTTGAATCTGGTGAAGCATTTGTAGCTTTAGAAAAACAGTGGGTAATCTAGCGATTAGCTGATACTCAGAAAAATGAAAGAAATGTGTTGTTTTCTTCTGTTTAGTGGCCAGAGCGTATTTATCAATGCGATCATGGTGTTACTGCATTGGATTTCTCTCTGGTCAACCCAAACCTTTTAGCAGTTGGAATGTACAATGGCACAGTAGCCATCTATAATGTACAGACTCGTAATTCCACTGCAATTTTGGACAGTAGGTAAGACCACAAACTCTCTGCCTTCTTGTACTACTTTTATGTCTTGTTAGCTGTGAACATTCATTCCAATGTTTATTTAAATTTAGTGAATGAGCAGAAGTGCTCTTAAAAATGGATTCAGTGAAGGAAGGAAAATGCTGGATAATTCCCCCCTTCCCAGCTTTGCTTTGGTCTGTCAATTGTGATTTGAAATATCTACACTGTACAAACCTACAATTTGTGGTTGAAAAGAAACAGTCAGGCATAAAGACTTCGATACTTATACACATGTCCATGAAAGACTAGACCGGCCAAGAAGCAGCACCAGTACAGAAAAGTGCTTCGGTCCTTTAAACATTATTCTATAATTATATATGTAAAAATATTTTCTAAAATATACTTTTAAACCCACTTTTCGAAACAGTAGATGTGTCTTTTCTCCCATGAACATTAACTATTTAAATAACCATTTAATAAACATAGGACCACCCACCAGCGTTTGTTCCCAAATTACATACTTTTTTTATTGTTTTATGTAATAACTTTTTCAAACTGCATTTTCCTTTATTTCTGTTAATGTGTGTTCCTTTATTTCAGTGAATCTTTTGATAAGCATATAGGCCCCGTATGGCAGGTGAAGTGGATTGAACAGGACAGGGGCACAACGGGAGATGACAAAGGAGAGATACTAATCTCTATCTCTATGGATGGCAGAATAACCAAGTGGCTTCTACGCAAAGGACTAGGCTGCATTGGTGAGCATATTCTCTCAAGACTTGTCTACAGTGGGCTATTGTGTAATACCTTGTTCCAGGCAATTTCCCTGTGTACGTAAGCCATAGGTAAACATTTCAGAATTGTTAACTATCTGCAGTATTTATGAGTCATTCAGAATGTTCTAATATTCCACTATCTCTTCCATGTAAAATTCATATTCCATGTATTGTGTATTTGGATAGATCTGATGAAACTGAAGCGAACAGCAAGTGAAAGGAAAAAACTAATGGGTGAAAAAGAAAAGAAAAGTGAAGCTCTGATATCTCGACAGGCACCTGGAATGTGCTTTGACTTTCATCCACGGGTAGGTTCAGGAAATCCATTATGATGGATTTATGCTTCAAATTTGGTTGACTGAAGTTTTCTCTATTAGAACAAAACATTATAGTTTTCAAATTCTCAGCTGGTGAATACTGATGGAGCTATACCATCACCAGCTAAAGATTTAATCTGTTTGTTAAATCACTGTAAGTTTGAGTAGTCTCCTGGATTCTGGAGACAAACTAAATCAGACCTAAGTGCTACTTTAACTGGGTGAATATTCTCATATGAATGAATAAAAATTTCAAAATGGAAGCTGTCTGGTGCCAGAACATTAACACACTTGCCTTTTACTTTTAGTTGATTTTATTCAAAGTTGGCTTATGCCACCAATGAAACAAATTTGGAAATCTCTCTTTTCCCAAGAGAATTTTTCCAGTCTCAAGACCACTGCATGCATCTCTGCATTGTAGGCACTCTCTAATGAAAGCCCCCAAACAGTTCAAAAATGGAAATCAGGATTCAGGTATAGGGGAAGCTTGCATAGAAGTTGCCCATGTTTCGCCTGTAATAGCTATAGACTGGTTCTGATGTACAGCGCTGACAGTATTACCCAAAATTGATGAGAGAGAAAAAACAAGCAAGCTAACCTAACCCTTATACTTTGAATTATGTTACTCCAATTGACTTTGGGCCAGCTACTGAGGGCAGGTGAACGAATACAGTTCTCATAGAAGTCAAAACAGAGTTTGAGAGCTCAGCATCTCTGTGGTCCTTAGCTGTTTCACAACCTAAACTCCACACAGTTCTTTAACTATTTCAGGATAAATAACCTACAGGATGAATCCCACTTTGAAATACCTGGATTTTTGTTTCAGGATACCAATATATATCTGGCTGGAACAGAAGAAGGGTATATTCACAAATGTTCTTGTTCATATAACGAGCAATTCCTAGAAACCTACCGAGCACATAAGGTGGGTAAAATTAAACCACAGAAAAAGTGATTGGATCAGTTAGATCTCAGAACAAATATATTATTATACTGAATAAGTGTATTGTATTTGTTGTAGTCCACAGACAACATACAACACAGATTTTAAAACCAAAGTCTCTTTTCTCAGCCAGAGTAATAAGGCTAAAAGTAGCATTGAAAATGCTTTAGAGATTATACTCTTCAATAGATTCTTTAAGAATTAATTAACCCTTTATTCAAGTTTTGACTAACTAAATAAAATTTAGTCCTGGCTTTACTTAAATTAAAATTAAAATGTGATAATCAGATTGTAATCTCATTGAATTGGAATTCATGGATTAATATCCACAAGAATGTAAACACCCCAGTTGCTCTGCACCTTAGATTTGTCTCCTCCAGCAGATTGCATTCCCAAGTGTAGTTTTTCCTAATATCCTGACAGGACATTGAATGAGCAGGGAAAAACAAAACCCTTCCTGAATCATCAGCATCACCAATAAAATATTTTTGGTCTTAGAACATACAGTGCATCCTGTAATCTTTGTATGTGGCAGTGAAATACAGATTGGACCACCCTGGCCCTGCACTCTCGGGGCCTGAGTGGTCCCAAACCAGGGAGATCAAGGTGCCCTTCTCAGCTATGAGCCCCGGTCACTAGGCTGTGTTCCTGCCCCTGGCCACTTGGTCTCACTGCTGCCAGCCCCATCCGGGGCACACTCCCCGCTGTTCTGGCCCCACTGCTGCTGGCCCCAGCCGTGTCTGTGCTCCTTACCATGCTGGCCCAGGCCTCACTACTGGCCACCGGCCTGATGAACTCCCAGCTGCCAGACTGGCTGCCACCAACTGGAGTTTCACTCCTGACCCTGGGCAGCCCTTACTCCCAGCCGGGTTCTCTGGTCTAGCAATATCAGGACCATGGATGTTGCCAGATCAGAGAGTTCAAACTGTAAAGTATTTTCAGGGTGGGGAAGCAATGGCAAAGACACAAAGGGTAGTGAGGTACCCAGCTCCCATTTAAAATAATTGGGAGTTGGGTGCCTAGTTTGCTTGAGCTCTTTTGAAAATCTAAGTTGCTAGTTTTGGAGTAACATGCAATTCCTTTTCCCCCAATGTTAAGGGTCCTGTATACAAGATAGCATGGAATCCATTCAGTACTGACATGTTTTTAAGCTGCTCTGCAGATTGGAGTATTATTTTATGGAGCCAAGATTCAGTAAGGCCCATTTTAACTTTCAGTTCCACCACTAGTGTTGTTCATGACATTATGTGGTCTCCAAAATCAGCCTTTGTATTTGCATCAGTGAATGAAGACACAGTGGAAATTTGGGACCTTAGTGTCAGCACGTAAGTAATAACTTATCTTGAGTAGGGTTCTGAAATAATAGAAAGGCCTACTAACTCTTATACAATATTTAATTATAGTAATGCTCAAAGGCCCTACTTGGTATTAGTGCTTGGCCATTTTAATTATAAAGTATTTAAATGTAATAACATTGTATTGTGTTCTAGAATGTTCACTTTATAGGAAACAGGTAACATATGTTTAAAGAAAATCTAGGGCAGGGGGCTGGATGGTTCAGGGAACTGGGAGGCTTCCCTTTTGCTACAGGAGTCATAGATTCTACAATTTCCAGGTGTTTTTAAAAACCGTCTTTGAAGCTTCAACATTTTGGGACTTTTGCATGTAAGCTACACACACCTGTGGGGGATAGGACATCTGCCCCTTTTCCTCCTTTCAGTTTTTTGATGAAAAGTGAGTAAAAGGGTGTCAAATAGGAATTACGTGCTCACTTACAATGGTAAGTGAACAGCACTGAACACCCACTTTACCCCAGCATCAATGACTGTACCAAGTACAAGGCAGTAGAGAACTAGGCCCACTGTATCATTTACTACAGAGCAAATGATTTCTATTCTAAACCCCTAGGTAATAGGAAGTAGAGCAGATGATTTTTCAGGTAGCTAGAATGCCCTGGTTAGAGAGGATTGGGATTTAAGTTGTATTTATCAGAGAATTAGCTAAATACACTTTCACCATTACTTATGATGCTAGATTTTAGTTTACCTGGATAATAAAAATTAAAAGCAATACTGGGATTAGCTTATTCCTGTAATTTTGTTCTGCAACAGTAATCTAGACTGCTGGTCTTCATTCTAGGAGCTATTAACATCTGTTCATTTTCTGATTTCAGTTTGGACCCCCTGATTGTGACCTTTGCTAACCCAGGGGTAAAATTCACAACTGTGCTTTTTGCTAGAAACACAGACTGCATTCTAATAGGGGACAGTGATGGAACCATCAGTGTGTATGAGCTGAGGAACATGACTGCTTCAGATAGTAATAAGGTATGACTGACAGGATAAGTGGATTGATCCTACCATGCCCATATGCTTATCTCTGTCCATCTTCTTTCATTAAGCATTTCTCTTTAGGTTAAAGAAAGTTTAGCTAATAAAAGATGTTTTGTGTAACACATGGATTGGATGAATGGATTCAAAGCACAGCTGGCTCCTGATCTTATACATGCATAAATAATAGGATTTCTGAACCAGAGGGATTCATTGAAGTCCAGTCAGGACTTAGGATACGTCTAGACTACATGGCTCTGTCGATGGAGCCATGTAGATTTGTTTATTTGGCAAAGGGAAATGAAGCCGCGATTTAAATAATCGCAGCTTCATTTAAATTTAAATGGCTGCCGCGCTATGCCGATCAGCTGTTTGTCGGTAGATCGGGGCAGTCTGGACGCTCCCCTGTTGACCTTAAAGCCCTTTGTCAACCTCCCCGGTAAACCTCATCCCACGAGGCATAAAGGGGAGTTAGACAAAGGGCTTTCAGGTCGGTGCGGGAGCGTCCAGACTGCCCCGATCTGCCGACAAACAGCTGATCATCAGCTGGTCAGCAGAGCGCGGCAGCCATTTAAATTTAAATGAAGCTGCAATTATTTAAATCACGGCTTCATTTCCCTCTGCCGATCAGCCTAATCTACATGGCTCCATCGACGGAGCCATGTAGTTTAGACACACCCTTAGACTCCAGTTGATTGAAAAGCTGCAATAATGGGATTAGGTAAAATCTGTGGATTTTCTCCCAAAAGCTGAAGAGTTCATACATATTTCACTGATTCTCGGTGGCCATACTCAAAGGAGGAGTTTCTCCAGGGTAGAGAAAGGAGTCAGAGGTGTGGTGTATACATTTTATCACATTCCCACCCCAAGAATTAATTTTATTCCTAGCATGAATAATCTCCATGTATATCTGATTCAGATTGCATGTGCTCTCCCAGCCATTCAGAATAGAGGTTCACACTAATGCTGTCCTCTCGTTAGCAAACTCACTAGTGTCTTTTCCCCATCTTCTCTGGGAGAAAAATAATGGCCTTGCTCCTGTCCCAAAATGCAGGTCTTTCCAGTTTCCTAGGATTAGTACTGAGTAACTCTCCCTACAATACAGCTACTGTGGATTTCATGCTAACACAGGCATATTCACGTGAGATGTATCCAGCAGTGAATACCTGCTGCTCACCTTGACCCTATCTTTTAACAGCCGTATCTGTGACAATTTATCCTGAAACTCTCCTATGGGCAGAGGCTGTGCTGACTAAATCAAACAACTTGGGTCCTTCATCCAAACTGGGGCAGTCTGCAAAGGTCTTGGGCAAACAGGCTTAATAACTGGTACATACATGTTACAAGGCTGTGTGCTTTAGATGCCTTTTTGTAAAATGGGGATACTATACTAGTAACCCCCTTTGTCTGTTTTGCTCATTTCTTGAGTTAGCTCTATGGACAAGAATCTTTCTAGGATTATATACAGTGCCTAGCACAGTAGACTCAGATCACTCATACTACCACTAATAAAATGACTAGACTGAAGCATGGTGCATGGTGCCCTATGCATAGGTACAAGGGATGTCAGTGAGTAGGCAACTTAATCCTGTCGACTATGTGCATTCCCTCCCACCCCACACACCTTGCTGCCTCTATTAGACTGCTCTAATAGAGCAGCAAGAAGGGGGAGGTGGGAGCTGGTGCCCATGGGAAGCTGGCTCCTCACGAGCACCGGATCCACCTGCCCCCGCCTCCCTGTGCTGCTACCTGATAGAAAGGCAGCAGTGAGGAGGGTAGGTGGGAGCTGATAAACCCATGCTGCCCCCCTCCCTGTCTCCTACAGAGGCAACATGGAAGGCAGGCAGGCAGGAGCCAGTGCTGAGGGGAGCCATCTTAGGAGCCAGTTCCCCCAAGCACCAGGTCCACGGCACCATCTGTCCCTCCCTCCCCCATGCTGCTGCTCTCTCTGATAGAGAGGCAGCAGTGTGGGGTGGCAGAGGCTCCCCAGGAGTGGGGCCGGGAGCGCACTGACTACCACCCCCGGGGACTATCAAATAGTCATGTAACCAATACATTGTGATGTGGTTACATGATTGTTCAGTTACATGGTATTTAACATCTCTAGTAGGTACTGCCTGGAAGATTAGCCTCTTTTTATATAGAAGGGTCTAAGATTGAATAAGTTTATGCTGTCAAGAATGATGTTGCAAATCGCACCACACAGATCCATCTACCACGAGAAATCTCTTTAAACTATCATAACAGTTATTTCAAAAAGTGCTATTTAGGAACAGTAAGTCTGTAAAAGGCAACAACTAGTAACATATATTGTCAACCTCTTGAAATCCATTAGGTGGATATCATTTGGGACTAAGTGGGGCTTTTTAGATCACTTCATTTCTTAAGCACAATTACAATGCAATACAATGTCTTTTTGTCTTTTTTTTTTTACAGGTGGATGCTTTACATGACATAATTGTCTCTGCTCTAGCCAGTTAACACTAGTTTACTGATAATTTTTCTCAATCAGTAAACAAAGGAAAAGACAATAAATAATTATGTCCCATGTGTCTGTATACCCTGAAGCCTGCCATTTAATTATGCAGAATAAAATCACCATAAAATGCAATATTGTATTAAATAAAGGGTAACAATTTTTCCATCATTAAATGTATCTGTATTTCCATCATTAAATGGAATCAAACTAAATGTCCTAAATTTTCCTTTGGAAATGCCCATCATTGTACACACTTTACGAATAAATTTACCTTCTAATATATTTTTCTGTATCATTGCATAATGAAATAAATAAAACAGTCCTTCCTTCCCCGTGACTCAAGAGTTCTCAGGCATCCTGTACCTAAGAAGAGGGCTGTAAACTTGAGCCATAATGGTAGAAAATTAAGTTTGTAACAAATAACTTGAAACAAAGAATTTCTCCAAGCATACTCTTTTCCAGCACTAAGATTTCACCCTCTGTCTATGATCCATCCCTGATTTATCTTCAGAGCACTAAACATCCCAGACACCTAGTGTAATGCGTTAACCATGAGAATCCCAAAAGTTCTGGCTAAAGGATAAAGCCCATTTATCCAAGAGATAGGGCTTTCTTTGGGAATAGCCTCAGACTATGAAACTGAAGGAACAGTCAGGAACATCCCTCAGTTCTGCCTTTCTGACAGCAAGGGCCTGAGCCAAAACCTAGTGAAGGTAAAAGAAAGATACGCACTAGAGTCAATGGGCTCTTGGTTAGGCCTTAACTTACTAGAAGAAGAAACAAATCTGGAAGAGAACTATTTAGATCACCATAGTGGGATTTGAGATATTGTCTCAAGTCTGCATTAGAAGCAGTGAATTTTTCATCTCTTGCTCCCAACCTAGTGTTGTCTTGTCTAGGAACACATCATATAGTGAGCAAGCAATATCTTTATCAGATCCCATGCCATCTGCATTCAAACCACAGCTAACAATAAAGGCACAGCTCCTTAGGCAATTACAACTAAACTCCATCAAGCAGCCAGTAAAAGCTACTAAGGCAGATACATAGTACCTCCACAAATTGTTGCACAGTGATGAATGACAGGCCAGATTTGAACATGGATTCCTTGTACAGAGGCACTTTATACTCTCTGTAGACCACATTGCTAATTCTGTTGAATAATGATACTGGATGAATAATGATAGTGGGGGTCCTTACATGAGGACAAATGTATTATCCTAGAGGATTTGGGGATATAGGTGGTCCAGAAAAATGGATCGTGTCCCCATGTGACCAATAAAAAATTAATTCCAAGTTCTCGCCCTTTTTTGGCACAGTTAGGAGAGAGCCATCTCTAGACACAGGAAAAACAAAGTCTTGAAATGAAATGCTCTGCCTATCAATTGACAAATGCAGTATCTGTTCTGACCTTAAATGTTATGTTGTGAGACATATTTTTTAAATGTACAGAACATTTAGTCGGTCTCATTTGTTTTACAGCGAATGCTCAATGTTTAAATACCACCAAAATCGTACATCGTTTAGTGACCCATTACCATTCATTTCCTTTGACATTATACACTTTATGACAAAACTGCTAGCCTGACTCTTGAGAAAAAACAGACTCGCCTATGTTACTGAGAGGACAACCATTAAGGTGAATCATGTGTTAATCATTATTAAAAATCTGAGCAAAAATACATGACTTCTTTTCGTCAGTGAAGATAGTTGTTTACTTACCGGTATTAATAGTGAAAACGCCCTTTCCATCACACCCATAACATGCAATAACTCACTCTGAACAAAACAATTAAAGTTTAATGTCTTGGTGCTGGGAAACACCTGTGATTATAGGAAGTGATAAAGATCTACATGACTGCTCATGTAGTTTATTTCTAAATAATGAATTTCTGAACTTAAAGGCCCCAAACCATATACATTTTCTTAAGCATGCATTATTGCAAAATAATGCTTTAGGCACCTACAGACATCATAGCAATGCTATACCAACAATAATACAGCTGGACCATTGCACAGTGTTCAAATCTCTCTTCATAGGTCCTATGCAAAATAATAACAAAGCTTCTCAAGCTGCACTCTTTCAAAAATTCCTTTTTTTTCAGATGTTGCCAAAATAAAAAGGATGAATACAATAATTGTAGCTATTTTGTCATTTGTTTTGATGCATGTGGAAATAATCCATTTCCACTATATTTCCTACTTAAAATGAAATTTAAACACCATATGTCTACATGGTCAGATTTTCAAAACTAGTCATATACAACTGTACATGTATACATGGTCACCATCTAGTTGACTATATAAAGGTAGCTTGTATGCACAAGACAATTAGGTGCATGGTAAGGATGTTGAACTGCATTTAATCAGCTGATTGAGTAGTCGATGGAATTTCCATCAACTACCTGATTAGTTGATAAGGGGAGAAACTGCAGAGCTTACAGTGGGGTTAGCTCCCAACACCTAGGGCAGGCCTACACAACTCGGAAAGCGGCGAGGGCCATATTACTCCAAAAAAACCAGCTGTGGTCCGCAAGTAGGGATGCTCTCCCAAAAAATACCGAACACGCAGGCTAAAAATTTTTGTTGAGGGAAAAAAAAAAAATGTCTCCCCACTTGGCCCCCTGGCATTTGTCTCTCCTGCACCCTGCCCCTTGGTGCCTTCCCCTTTCTCCTGACCTGCCCTCCTCCCCTCAGCACAAGCCCCTTCCGCTCCCCTACCTGGCTTCTGCCTTCCAGGTTGCGGGGCTGACGGAGCCCTTTTTAATCTGGTGGTCGCCAGCTGTGACGTCACAATGCCACGTCATGCCAGCATCCTGGCGTCTGCTGGCGTCCCGCTCTCTAGCTCAAGTCCCGCCTCCTCGCGCCAGAGCTGCATGCAGGCAGCCCTGCTGCGAGAATCACCGCACTTCCCTCTCCCCGGCAGCGCTCCACTCCTCCGCCCGGCCGGCGGATCAGATGGGGCCGCGCTGCCCATGGTCGGCACGGACCACACAGTGAGCCCCTGTGGGCCATATGCGGCCCTCGGGCCGTATGTTGTGCAGGCCTGCCTTAGAGCTCTGCCTTTTAAATTTAGTAAGGTGCACCCTGCAAAGCTGGTGTTGCCAGGGGGCCTTTGGATATCTTGACTACGAGATGCTGTTCCAAGAAGGAGGTTCACTTTTCGAGGAAGAGAGTATTTGGACACAGACTGGCTAACCATGTAAGAAGGGCTGTAAACTAAGTTTGATGGGGGCAGGTGACGAAAGCCCAGAGGTAAGTGAAAAACATGGAGACCTGGGAGATAGGTTGGAAATGGGAGGGAGAATGGGCTATAATAGCAGAGAGCTATAATAGGAGGGACAAGGCAGAACTGGGAGGCAAAATCAAATCAGTATTTTAGATGCCTGTATACAAATAAGCAGGAAGAATTTGAACTGCTAATAATCACAATTATGACAGAGCTGCTATCACACAGACTTGGTGGGATAATACAATTGGAATATTAGTATAGAAGGGTACAGCTTGCTCAAGGATAGGCAGGGAAAAAAGGGAGGAGGTGTTGCCCTATATAATAAGCATGTATACACTTGGACTGAGGTGGAGATCGACATAGATTAAGAGTCTCATGATTAATTTTTAAAACAGTGATATTATGCTAGGAGTCTACTACAGATCACCTACCAGGGTAGAAGAGGCAGATGAGACTTTTTTTAAACAACTGACAATATCATCCAAAGTGCAGGATTTGGTGGTGATGGGGTACTTCAACTATCCAGATGGATAAGAATATAAGAGCAGCCATACTGGATCAGGCCAAAGGTACATCTAGTCCAGTATCCTATCTGCCGACAGTGGCCAATACCAGAGGCCCCAGAGGGAGGAATCACAACAGGTAATCCTCATGTGATCCCTCCCCTGTCACCTACCTCCAGAGAAACAGAGGCTAAGGATACCATTCCTACCCATCCTGGCTAATAGCCATTGATGGACCTAAACTCCATGAATCTATCTAGCTCTTTTTTTAATTCTGTTAAAGTTCTAGCCTTCACCACATCCTCTGGCAAGGAGTTCCACAGGTTGACCGTGCTCTGAGTGAAGAAAACCTTCCTTTTGTTTGTTTTAAACCTGCTGCCTATTAATTTCATTTGGTGACCCCTAATTCTTATATTGTGGGAATAAGTAAATAACTTTTCCTTATTCACTTTTTCCATAACACTCATGATTTTATAGACCTCTATCATATCTCCTCCTAGTCTCCTCTTTTCTAAGATGAAAAGTCCGAATCTTTATAATCTCTCTTCATATGGGACCCGTTCCAAACCCCTAATCATTTTTGTTGTCCTTTTCTGAACTTTTTCCAATGCCAGTATATCTTTTTTGAGATATGGTGACCATGTCTGTATGCAGTATTCAAGATGTGAGCGTACCATGGTTTTATATAGAAGCAATAAGATATTTTCTGTCTTATTCTCTATCCCCTTTTTTATGACTCCCAACATTCTATTTGCTTTTTTTACTGCTGCTGCATACTGGGTGGATGTTTTCAGAGAACTATCCACAATGACTCCCAAGATCTCTCTCTGGAGTAGTTGTGGTCAAATTAGTCCCAAGCATATTGTGTATATAGTTGGGATTATTTTTTCCAAATTGAATTACTTTACATTTATCAACATTAAATTTCATTTGCCATTTTTTTTCCCAATCACTTAGTTTAGTGAGATCTATTTGAAGCTCTTCACAGTCTGCTTTGGTCTTAACTATCTTGAGCAGTTTGGTATCATCTGCAAATTTTGCCACCCCACTGTTTACTTCTTTCTCTAGATTATTTATAAATAAGTTGAATAGAATGGATCCCAGGACAAACTCTTGGGGCCCCACTAATTACCTCTGTCCACACTGAAAACTTACAATTTATTCCTACCCTTTGTTTCCTGTCTTTTAACCAGTTACCAATCCACAAAAGGACCTCTCTTCTTATCCCATGACAACTTACTTTACTTAAGAGCCTTTGGTGAAGGACCTTGTCAAAGGCTTTCTGGAAATCTAAGTACACTATAGCCACTGGATCTCCCTCGTCCACATGTTTGTTGACTACCTCAAAAAACTCTAGCAAGTTAGGAAGGCATGATTTCCCTTTACAGAAACCATGCTGACTTTCCCCCAAAAAATTATATTCATCCATATATCTGACAATTTTATTCTTTACTATTGTTTCGACTAATTTGCCCGGTACTGAAGTTAGACTTACTGGTCTGTACTTGCCAGGATCACCTCTAGCACCCTTTCTAAAATTTGGCATCAAGTTAGCCAAATCATTAGCTACGGAAGCTGATTTAAAGGATAGGTTACAAACCACAGTTAATAGTTCTGCCCATTTCAGTTCTTTCAGAACTCTAGGGTGAATGCCATCTGGTCCCGATGACTTGTTACTGTTAAGTTTATCAATTTGTTCCAAAACCTTCTCTAATGACACCTCAATCTGGGACAATTCCTCAAATTTGTCACCTAAAAAGAATGGCTCAGGTTTGGGAATCTCCCAATATCCTCAGCCATGAAGACTGAAGCAAAGAATTCATTTATCTTCTCCGCTAAAACTTTATCATCTTTGGATCTCGATCATCCAAGGGCCCCACTGGTTGTTTAGCTGGCTTCTGATGTATTTAAAAAACATTTTACTATTATTTTTTGAGTTTTTGGCTAGCTGTTCTTCAAATTCATTTTTGGCTTTTTTTATTATATTTTTTACACTTAATTTTACAAAGTTTATGGTCCTTTCTATTTTCCTCACTAGGATCTGACTTCCACTTTTTAAAAGATATCTTTTTATCTGTCACTGCTTCTTTTACCTGGTTATAAAGCCATGGTGGCACTTTTTTGGTTCTCTTACTGTGTTTTTTAATTTGGGGAATACATTTATGTTGGGCCTCTATTATGGTGTTTTCAAAAAGTTTCCATGCAGCTTGCAGAGATTTCACTTTTGTCATTGTATCTTTTAATTTCTGTTTAACTAACTTCCTCATTTTTGTGTAGTTTACCTTTCTGAAATTAAATGCCACAGTGTTGGGCTGCTGAGGTGTTTTTCCCACCACAGGTATGTTAAATTTTATTACATTATGGTCACTATTTCCAAGCAGTCCAGTTATATTTGCCTCTTGAAACAGATCCTGTGCTCCACTTAGGACTAAATCAAGAATAGCCTCTCCCCTTCTGGTTTCCAGAACCAGCTGCTCCAAAAAGCAGTCATTTAAGGTATCAAGAAATTTTATCTCTGCATCCTGTCCTGAGGTGACTTGTACCCAGTCAATATGGAGATAGTTGAAATTCCCCACAACTATCGAGTTTAATTTGATAGCCTCTCTAATCTCCCTTAGCATTTCATAGTCACTATCACGGTCAAGATCAGGTGGTCGATGATATATCCCTACTGCTATATTCTTATTATTGGACCATGGAATTACTATCCATAGAGATTCTATGGAACATTGTGACATTTAATATTTTTTACTTCATCTGATTCTACATTTTCTTTCATGTATAGTGCATCTCCCTCACCAGCATGACCTGTTCTGTCCTTCCGATATATTTTGTATTCTGGTATGACTGTGTCCCATTGATTGTCCTCATTCCACCCAGTTTCCGTGATGCCTATTATATCAATATCCTCCTTTAGAACTAGGCACTCTAGTTCACCCATTTTACTATTTAGACTTCTAGCATTTGTGTATAAGCACTTGAATAATTTGTCACTATTTATCTGATGTGTTAAGACTCTTTTTCATTTGATTTTGTCTGTTGATCTGACCCATACTTCCATCCTCACCTCCTGACTAGAGCATCTCTATTAATAGAGCCTCCCCTAGTAGATGTCTCTGTCTGAACCATATGCTCCTCTGCACTCATCGGCTTTCCCAGAGCCCTTAGTATAAAAACTGCTCTACAACCTTTTTAATCTTTAGTGCCAGCAGTCGGGTTCCATTTTGGTTTAGGTGGAGCCCATCCTTCCTGTATAGGCTTCCCCTATCCCAAAGTTTCCCTAATTCCTAATAAATCTAACCCCTCCTCTCTACACCATCGTCTCATCCACGCATTGAGACTCTGAAGTTCTGCCTGCCTGCCTGGCCCTGTGCGTGGAACTGGAAGCATTTCAGAGAACGCTACCATAGAGGTCCTGGATTTCAATCTCTTTCCTAGCAGCCTAAATTTGGCTTCCAGAACCTCTTTCCTACCCTTCCCTATGTCATTGGTACCTATATGTACCATGACCACCGGCTCCTCACCAGCACTACACATAAGATTATCTAGATGTCTTGAGAGATCAGCAACCTAGTTGGGATACTAACACAGCAGGGCACAGACTATCCAATAAGTTCTTGGACTTCATTTGGAGACAATTTTTTTATTTCAGAAGGTTGAGAAAGCTACTGGGGAGAAGCTGTTCTAGATTTAGTTTTAACAAATAGGGAGGAACTGGTTGAAAATTTGAAAGAGGAAAGCAGCTTGGGTGAAAGTGATCATGAAAT